GCCTTCAAATGCCCACTTGGGGACTTTAAGCTCCAAAAAACCCAGTATATAGGCAAGACAACAACATCTCTTTCTAGGCGTTTAACGATGCATAAGCAACAGGGCTCCATTAAGGAACATATAATCTCTTCCCACAACCAAACCATCGCCAGAGAAATCCTAGTAAACAACACAGAAATCATCGATAGATACAGCGATAGCAGACGGCTTGACGTTTGCGAGGCACTGCACATTAAGAAGTCAACACCAGCAATCAACAGTCAATTAATGCACAACTATATTCTACCCACCTCAAGACTCCGCTCCAATATAGAAGCATCAAGAAATATGGACCAATAGGCTTTCTACAATCACTTCCATTTCAATACCCATTGTTTCGTGTTCTGTCTTGTGTTGATGAAATTAATACCCTATTAAATACCACCTCACCCCATCCACCTCACTCAAATGTAGATATAAACAAATCGGAGATATGTAAGTTCTATTCAGTTGTGTATGTGCAAAGTCTTTGAAAATGTAATAAGTTTTACGAAACGCGCTCAAGTGTCGCGTCAGACTAGAAATAAAAATGAATTTTGGAGAATTGATTTTTGAATTACCTCCAACAGTGAAAAGAAATGTACGAAAGATTGAGAAAATTCGTGTTAGTATTATTAATCTTACTTTTTCGGTCATATTTAATAATATATATATATATATATATATATATATATATATATATATATATATATATATATATATATATATATATATATATATATATATATATGACTAATTTATGTTCAGAGGAATGAAAAATTGTTGAGAAGATTCAGGCTGCAGAATTATTCTTGATATAACATATTTGTTGAAGTGTTTAAAATTGATTCAGGTTTTGTTGATTTTCTTATGTGATGCTTATAGCGCTGATGATAGATTTGATACATGATAGACTATGATATGCATATACAGCAGTGCTTAGGTGTATAGTATTATTAATAGGATTTATACATTTATACATATGTATTATAAATTGCAGGGGAATATAAATACTCAGATGAAGGATATTGTTGAGATATTCTTTGTGAAAATAGAGTTGATAAATTGAAGTGTTGAATTTATAGTAAGATATTAGTGGATAATTTATTACCATTCCTAGATTACTAGGATAATACAGTAGGGAGTAGTCTTAGGATGTGTTTATTGATGGTAGTAATTACAGTTGTAATTAGAGATGCATTAGTAATGTTTACACACAGAAATCACAATAGTGTGATGCATCAAATGAACAAATCCACAAGATCAGTAGGACTTCTGGTTGCAATTCTTTTACCATGTCGTAGCTGAGTGGATTAAGGCAGCGTCTGGGATGCTCTCGGACGTAGGTTCGAACCCTCGTCACGGCTCTTGTGGATTTGTTCATTAGAAATGTTTATTTTTTTCTTTTCTGTATATGTGAGTGGGCCAAGTTGTGCCTTTCCGAACAGTTGGTAAGTCGAAGACGGGGCCAGTCCGCGTTCCCTTACACATTATGTTCATTTTTTCCGAAAAGGTTTTAATTGGAATCTTAGTTTGTTATCAACAGATAGTTGATAGCCGTAGTTGGCAACCTTAAGACGGGACAACATTTTCTTCCCTCAGATCATAGACCAACCCGTCTTCAGCCTATTTTTATTCCATCCAGCGGTCGCCCCCATGGTTATCTTGAGGTTATCTTGAGGTTATCTTGAGGTTATCTTGAGATGATTTTGGGGCTTTAGTGTCCTCTACTAAAAAGCCCCGAAATCATCTCAAGATAACCTCAAGATATAACCTCCCCGCGGCCCGGTCCTCGACCAGGCCTCCACCCCCAGGAAGCAGCCCGTGACAGCTGACTAACACCCAGGTACCTATTTTACTGCTAGGTAACAGGGGCATAGGGTGAAAGAAACTTTTGTCCATTGTTTCTTGCCGGCGCCCGGCATCGAACCCGAGACCAAAGGATCACGCGCCCAGTGTTCTGTCCGCTCAACCGCCGGCTCCCTAATACTGCTCCCGGGGGAGAGCGGTATTAGAAAGTCTTCGCCGTGGAATATCGTAGAGGACACGGATCTTAAGAAGACTCTGGCGAGACTCTATGGATGTCATAAGAACTTCGAACCCATTCGCTGTGCAGGAAGATGAGTGTTGTAGAGAGAATGCTGTTGGCTCGAAAGGGAAGACAACAAAGGAAGCGCAGGTCCCTCAAGCTACCCACAAAGTAAAGGAAGTATTAAGCGAATTTTAGTTATGGGAGATTCCCAAGTGAGGGATTTGGATACAGCTTTTTGTGCTAGAGATAGTTGGGGAACACATTAAGGGTTTGCTATCTCCGGGAGCTGGAATTAATGATATTGTAAACAACATGGCTGGAAATGGGAACAAACCCATTAGTTGTATCAGTGCAGGTGGAAATGATGAAGGACTAGTTAGGAGTGAGGCACTGATATAGAGGTTTAAGATCAACCAATCGACTTGAGAATGGTCCAGGACGGACCGAAACGTCGTCGTCCCTTTCAATTTCTAGTGTGTGGTCTGGTCAACATACTTCAGCCACGTTATTGTGACTCATCGCCTGCATAGAGGTTTAAGACCTTGAGCTTGAGGTGCTTCCGGGGCTTAGCGTCCCCGCGGCCCGGTCGTCGACCAGGCCTCCTGGTTGCTGGACTGATCAACCAGGCTGTTGGACGCGGCTGCTCGCAGCCTGTCGTATGAGTCACAGCCTGGTTGATCAGGTATCCTTTGGAGGTGCTTATCCAGTTCTCTCTTGAAGTCTGTGAGGGGTCGGCCAGTTATGCCCCTTATACAGCCATAGAATTAGGAGCAAGGGAGGCATCCCGATCATATGTGTCATTCTTCCAAGGAAGGGAGTTGGAAATGAATGGTTGTTAAGGGCACTTGGTGTCAATTGCCGGCTGAACAAATATTGCAAATCAATTGCAATATCCTTTATTGATAACTGGGAACTCTTCTATGGAAGGAATGACATGTATGCTCGGGATGGGGTGCATTTATCCAGGTCTGGAGTTGTTGTTGAATGAACGACGATTTGGAATGAACATAATGTTAAAATGTTATGAATGGGTCTTTGGGAGCCGGTCGGCCGAGCGGACAGCACGCTGGACTTGTGATCCTGTATTCCCGGGTTCGATCCCGGGCGCCGGCAAGAAACAATGGGCAAAAGTTTCTTTCACCCTATGCCCCTGTTACCTAGCAGTAAAATAGGTACCTGGGTGTTAGTCAGCTGTCACGGGCTGCTTCCTGGGGGTGGAGGCCTGGTCGAGGACCGGGCCGCGGGGACACTAAAAGCCCCGAAATCATCTCAAGATAACCTCCCTTTGTTTCCTTTGGGTAAACAAAGTATTACATAACGTCTGCACCAAAATATTGAGATTCTTAGATACAAATATCCAGGAGATATGGGATGGAAACAACAGCTGATCAGCGGAGTTGCAGAATCTGTGGTGAGAGTGATGGACACCGCCTTGACCACTACCTGAGAGAATGTAAACACCTAATAGTCAATAAAAATATGTGTAGCATAGTAAACCCCACATTGTTTGAGTTGGGAAAACACTATTTGTCAAATATTGATACTGTTCTTAAAAGATTCCCCCATTTTGTACCCGCAAGATAACGTAAGATTTTAAGGGTTGATAAATGTTAATCTTCTTGTTTGTGGAGCTGTTCACTTGAGACAGTTAAGCAAGTCCCAGCTGTGTCTGGGTACAAGTGACAGGATGAACAACCCAGCGGGTTTTCTTCCTATTGGGGAGTGTTGTACATTCTGCTATGGCGGTGTGTCAACTCACAGGATGAGTGGCGCTGCCCAATACTGTCACTATGGCGGTGTGTCCACTCACAGGATGAGTGGCGCTGCCCAATACTGTCACTATAGCGGTGTGTCCACTCACAGGATGAGTGATGCTGCCCAATACTGTCACTATGGTGGTGTGTCCACTCACAGGATGAGTGGCGCTGCCCAATACTGTCACTATGGCGGTGTGTCCACTCACAGGATGAGTGGCGCTGCCCAATACTGTCACTATGGCGGTGTGTCCACTCACAGGATGAGTGGTGCTGCCCAATACTGTCACTATGGCGGTGTGTCCACTCACAAGATGAGTAGCGCTGCCCAATACTGTCACTATGGCGGTGTGTCAACTCACAGGATGAGTGGTGCTGCCCAATACTGTCACTATGGCGGTGTGTCCACTCACAGGATGAGTGGTGCTGCCCAATACAGTCACTATGGCGGTGTGTCCACTCACAGGATGAGTGGTGCTGCCCAATACTGTCACTATGGCGGTGTGTCCACTCACAGGATGAGTGGTGCTGCCCAATACTGTCACTATGGCGGTGTGTCCACTCACAAGATGAGTAGCGCTGCCCAATACTGTCACTATGGCGGTGTGTCCACTCACAGGATGAGTGGTGCTGCCCAATACTGTCACTATGGCGGTGTGTCCACTCACAAGATGAGTAGCGCTGCCCAATACTGTCACTATGGCGGTGTGTCCACTCACAGGATGAGTGGTGCTGCCCAATACTGTCACTATGGCGGTGTGTCCACTCACAGGATGAGTGGTGCTGCCCAATACTGTCACTATGGCGGTGTGTCCACTCACAAGATGAGTAGCGCTGCCCAATACTGTCACTATGGCGGTGTGTCCACTCACAGGATGAGTGGTGCTGCCCAATACTGTCACTATGGCGGTGTGTCCACTCACAAGATGAGTAGCGCTGCCCAATACTGTCACTATGGCGGTGTGTCCACTCACAAGATGAGTGGCGCTGCCCAATACTGTCACTATGGTGGTGTGTCCACTCACAGGATGAGTGGTGCTGCCCAATACTGTCACTATGGCGGTGTGTCCACTCACAAGATGAGTGGCGCTGCCCAATACTGTCACTATGGCGGCATGATTTATGTCATTTATTTCTATTATCTCAGAGTTATCATTCATAACAAAAAACACAATTCAGGATAATAAAATATAATACAACTGCATATGATTTACTTGTATAAAAATATAAACTTTATACAATCTGAAACTTAACCTTTGTTTAGTCATACTGACGCAGAGATCACAGACAGACGCACGCTTGGCCTAGTGTATATATATACACTCCTTCCCTACACTGGAGGGGGGGGCTTCAGGGGACGGGAGGGAGGCTCAAGGGGACGGTAGAGAGGCTCAAGGGGACGGTAGGAAGGCTCAAGGGGACGGTAGAGAGGCTCAAGGGGACGGTAGAGAGGCTCAAGGGGACGGTAGAGAGACTCAAGGGGACGGTAGAGAGGCTCAAGGGGACGGTAGAGAGGCTCAAGGGGACGGTAGAGAGGCTCAAGGGGACGGTAGAGAGGCTCAAGGGGACGGTAGAGAGGCTCAAGGGGACGGTAGAGAGGCTCAAGGGGACGGTAGAGAGGCTCAAGGGGACGGGAGGGAGGCTCAAGGGGACGGTAGAGAGGCTCAAGGGGACGGTAGAGAGGCTCAAGGGGACGGTAGAGAGGCACAAGGGGACGGTAGAGAGGCTCAAGGGGACGGTAGAGAGGCTCAAGGGGACGGTAGAGAGGCTCAAGGGGACGGTAGAGAGGCTCAAGGGGACGGTAGAGAGGCTCAAGGGGACGGTAGAGAGGCTCAAGGGGACGGGGAGGGAGGCTCAAGGGGACGGTAGAGAGGCTCAAGGGGACGGTAGAGAGGCTCAAGGGGACGGTAGAGAGGCTCAAGGGGACGGTAGAGAGGCTCAAGGGGACGGTAGAGAGACTCAAGGGGACCGGAGGAAGGCTCAAGGGAAACAAGGGAGAGACTAAGGGGGGTAAATGCTCTCTTAACAAAACTTAACAGAGCCTCTTAACATTTCTATTCTTGGAAAACCAGATCCAGATCAGCATTGAGGAAGAAATATTGGAAAAACTCCTCTGGAACACTGGGGGGAAGCCTTTGACAAGCATCCAGCTTCCTGTCCCCGATAGGGGCAACTAGAAGGATGGTCAGGTAAATTCAGACAAATTTGGCTGCTAGAATGAATAAATCTCCCTTAAAACTGGCATTCCGTTTTCTCTATAAGTCTTTTAAATCACAATATGCAAGGGCTCTAGGAAGACTTAGCCTTAAGGCTTACAGACAAAGACTTAAGGCCAGGAAGTAGAACTGAGATGACAGGTCAGATGGATCTTGTAGAGAGGCTGAGGTACAAGGGAATGTAGGCCCGGTGGCTCGTAGAGATCAAGGGTCTTTGTGTAACAGAGTGGAGTTAGTAATTGGCACAAATGATTTGAAATGACAGCGGTGTGTGTCTTACGGGTTCACCATAGCCCGTGCTACATGGATATTTCATTCTGAGTAGCTAAGTCTATTAAAAAAAAAACAGCTGTTTGTTTCCGTGACCATCAAAGTGGCCTGGGGTAGTTAACAGGTCTAACAACGTGGTTTACAAGTCTTCAACTTTATAAGTGTAATTAGGATCTTTGCTAACAAGAGCACTTTAGTGATCATTTACATCACAATGAGCAAAATAATGATTATAAATAACTTGGAATATTTTTTTTTTACAATTATTCTATCATTGTTTTCATCTTTTTACAAGTGAACAGAGATGGTTTACACCTAAGCTAATACATAATGAGGCGGGGACCAAAGAGCCAAAGCTCAACCCCCCGCAAAGCACAAATAAGTGAGTACAAATAGGTGAGTAATGGCTGTTTACAGTCGCAGAACAAAGCGATAAGTAAATCAATAATATAACTTTTCACTATAAATAGATAATGACTTAAATATATTGACCGAAATGATCAATACAAACAACACTTCATTGTTTATATAGAAATTATAGATTAACATAAAAACTTGATTTATACAGACATGTTACTTTTTCACCTAACTTGTAGTTTAAATAGAAATCAATGTTTCACGTAAAATTTGATATATATATATATATATATATATATATATATATATATATATATATATATATATATATATATATATATATATATATATATATATATATATATATAAATTGCTAAATGCAATATTTACCACTACAGTATTGACCTGCACAAGATTTACATGTGAGCGTTGATCTGTCATCCAGGGATTTACGTAAAAGTATAAAAAATCTGTAAAAATGCCAATAAATTGACATGCAAATACATAACAGTTTATAAGCAGATGTTTCTTAAAACTCTATTTTATTTTACAAATACGCAAGGATTAACTTCTGATCAAAATCTTGATCAACTGATCAAGGATTTATATTCCTCACTCTATTTTTACTCCATATTCCTCCTTTATTACTCTGGAAAAAAATAAGAAAATACCTCACTTAAGAATACCGTGAACAACGACCCGTTCAAGACGTGTACGAATCCCTCGCTAAAATACTAAATGACTCGCTTCAAAACCAGGAAGATGAGTGTTACATTGCGACGTCTGCTACTGCGCTACGAGCTGCGTCTCTACCATCTTTTGCCAGAAAAGATGAAATACATCTAAGAACATGGCTTCTATTTAGCTTCTATTAAGTCATCATCACACTATTCTCAGTGGTGGTGTATTATTTAGTTGAAGTTCCTATTAACTACGTGCATCATAGTGTATGAATGCAACCCAAAACACCCAATATTTCCTGGTTAATATAACCAAAGTATTGACACAACAAATGATAAATCTTATCATGTACTAGAGGGACCAAACAACGTAAGACTATGAATATGAACAGCTAATGACAAGGAGCGCCTGTTATATATATATATATATATATATATATATATATATATATATATATATATATATGAGTCATTCAATAACTTTTAGATAAGTTAAATACTGAAATCTCACATAAATTGTCTGTGAACTCTGGATAATATTAGTGCTGCAATAATCAGGTAGACAAATGCTTGTAATAATGTGAACAAGAGTTACTGAACCTTTGCCAACCGTACTAAGCAGACGCTTAATATTTCACGTGGGCATGACTGGGCCCTCGCCCCACCTAGAGGCGACAGAAAGCCAGCTGTCAGCCAGCTGGCAGGTGCACTCTGATAGATGGACGACTTCCAAGAGAATGACAGCATATCCATCTGTGTAGAGCTAATGACTCTATGGACAAGTGCGCAACATGACTCTTAGAAATGAAGGATGACCGGATCGCCGGGGAAGTAGCCGGAGGAGTCTTGGCTGAAGGCTTCGAACTGGTGTTTGATGGGGTACCTCGCCACGACCTCCAGGGAGGGCACGGCAATCCGGGAGTGTCTGAGGGGCACGCTGCCGTACAGGGTGTTGATGCGCTCGATCCCCATCACCCGGTTGTCGCCGTCGGTAGTGAAGAACGACCCCCAGTAAGTGCTCATGAGCTCCGAGCCGGCGTCGTGCTCCATGGCATCCCCGATCATACCCTCGGCGGCCAGTTCCTCCACGATCGCTACCGTGTCGATTCCCATGAGTGACGGCGCACAGACGTCCTGCGCGAGGTGGTCTCCGACGTACAGGCAGTGGGGGTTATCCACGCAAGTCTCCCGCTTCACCAGGTTCAACAGGTCTCTCCAATTGCCTCCAGAGTAGGTCTCGTCGATGCGTAGTTTGTGTGCAGGAACCACGTCCCCGTCATCTACTCCGACACAGAAGCGGAAGGGCTTCTCTCCGGAGAAAAATGACGGCTTTTTCGCGGTGAAAATGACGGTGTCGAAGTAGTCACGCCAGTCAGGACCCAGGACGTATCTGGCGCAGTGGGATGCGTAGTCCACGCTCGATCCCGTTATGAGGAATGTGAAGGTGTGCTCATTTATGGACTTGAGCCATTTCTTTAACTTGTCACTAGCTTCATAAATGTACTTCTCGGGGTTGTTCTTAATCCTTGGGAAGAATCCTCCCTGGTTATTGCGGAAGTGTTCCCTGCGGTACATGTTGCACATAGCAACATGCACATCCGGCCAGATGTCGTACTCCTCCAAGGGGCCTTCCGGTGAGCTGTCCTGCGCGTCAATCGCCCGTGCGCAGGCCACGGCGGCCGGCATGTCGAAGTAGTCCTTGAAGGACCGCAGAACCGGAGCTTCCCCGAGCACCGGGTGGTCGTAAAGGGTCCTGGAGAACTCTATAACAGGCTCCCAGATGCGGTCTTTACCATAGGTGTCGTGGATCTCATCTCTGGTCATTGGTCGCGTGCCGTGGGTGGCGCGGAGGATGCGACCAGTGTTAGAACACTTCAGGAAATTGCCTCTTTTGATATCCAGTATCAGCCCCTTCTGCAGGAAGTCCATGTCGTCATCTAAGGGCAACAGCAATTCCGGCTCATACCCATAGCGGTTAACCATGTACTCGGCTATAAGGTTGTACTCCAAGCGCATAATTTCGCCCACTTTGTACCGGCAGATTGTGTTGTCGAGGTCAAAGCCGATGCAGTCATAGTCGGCGAACTTGAAGGTATCATCCTCAGGGAAGGGCTGCTGCTTCTTCCTTTTGTTATTCTTGCAGTAGTACTTTTTCTTCATGACCTTCTCGCGAAGGCTGTCGCCCTCGCCGACGTTCTTGAGTACCATGTCTTGGGTAAAAGTGAAGCTCTCCTCACGGTACTCTGTGCACTCTACTGAGATGGTCCACTCGGGCATCCAGGTACACGGACGTCAGGTGTCCAGTTGTGCCGGCAGTCCTCTGTGGTATACTGGCAGAGAACACACGGTAAAATCACTGGATATTTATCTGTTTCAGCGGCAACTTGCTCCACAAGAGCCGGACTGAAGGAGCTGTTGGCTTCTATAACTCACTCTGTCTTGAAGATCTTCTCAAAACTGAGATAATTTCATGCAAACATTAAGTAGTACAAAGCAGGTCTCCTCCGGCCTACACACAACTACTTCACTGTTCCTTCTCTACTGCTTCCGTTCATTATAACACAACAGTCACTGTCTGTTGTAGAGCCACTGTTACCATAAATCACGGTCACTGTTTCACTTGCACTGGCAGTCACTGCAAGAGGTTGCGAGCTTCAGGCAACGTGCAGGCAGCGCAAGAAGCCCTCATGGTGCTGCAAGGTGGTTTAGTAAGGACGCGTTCAGCTCCCGTGTGTGTGTGTGCGTGTTCGACCGCCTCACAGCTGCTACTGAGCTGTGATGCCCGGTACCCTGTTGTACCAGTGCCAGCTTCAACCCCTCCCGTGCCCTCCCCCATTCTATCCCCACTAGACCCCCCCTTCCCCCCCATCCCCACCACTCACCCTCCTCCCTTTCCTTGCGCCCCCCTGACACCCTCATGCCCGACCCCCTTCCCCTGTTCCTCCCTCACACTGCTCCCTGATCTCAAAGTGGCTAGCGATGCCCCTTGCTCCGATCTAGCCAACACACACACAGCGGCCTAGTGGCTGAGTGGACAGCGCTCGGGATTTGTAATCCTGGGGGTCTAGGGATCGATCCCCGGACCCCAGGAAACAAATGGGCAGTTTCTTTCACCTTGATGCACTGATCATCTAGCAGTAAATAGGTACCTGGGAGTTAGACAGCTGTTATGGGCTGCTTCCTGTGTGTGTGTGTGTGTGTGTGTGTGTGTGTGTGTGTGTGTGTGTGTGTGTGTGTGTGTGTGTGTGTGTGAGAGAAAAAAAACAGTTGGAAGGCGGGTCGAAAGAGCCAGAGCTTAACCCCCGCAAGAAAAACTAGGTGAATACGCGCGCACACACACACACACACACACACACACACACACACACACACACACACACACACACACACACACACACACACACACACACACACACACACACACACACACACACACACACACACACACACACACACACACACACACACACACACACACACACACACGGGACCCCCAGGAGCGTCGCCCCCGCCAAGAGTCTCAGTACTGCTGACGAAGCTATACCTCGCTCGCAGTGTCGCCTGAAATACTCACCTTCCCCGGAGTATATTTTCACTACAACACAGTCCACGCCTCGCCCCCTCCCCCCCCCCCCCCCCCTACAGCGACGTGACCACCACAAGCACCTTCTTCAGGGGGAAGGCCCAGAGGGTTATCTTGAGATCTGAGAGGTTATCTTGAGATGATTTCACGTCTTAGCGTCCAGGCGGCCCGGTCCTTAACCAGGCCTCCTTTTTGTTACACGTCCCCTAGGAAGCAGCCCGTAGCAGCTGTCTAACTCCCAGGTACATATTTACTGCTAGGTGAATATGGGCATCGGAGGGAAAGAAATTCTGCTCATATGTTTCTGTCTCAACCGAGGATCGAACCCGGGACCTTAGGATTACGAATCCCGAGCGCTGACCTCTCAGCCGTCAGACCAAGACCATCTCGCCTTAAATTGTGAATGAGAATGTTAAGGAAATCTGTTACTGCCACGTCTTATGCTGTTTATAATTGCATGAACAATAATATTTAATTATTTAATTAAAATTAAATAAAAATTAATTAAAATTAAATAAAAATTAATTAAAAAATAATATTTAAAATAATACGTTATGAAGTGTGTGTGTGTGTGAGTATGAGCCATGACCGCTCTCTCTCTCCCTCACACACACACACACACACACACACACACACACACACACACACACACACACACACACACACACACACACACACACACACACACACGTGAGAGGAGTTGATTGACAGTTGAGAGGCGGGACCGAAGAGCCAGAGCTCAACCCCCGCAAGTACAACTAGGTAAGTCCAACTAGGTAAGTGCACACCTCTTGGCATCGCGGCTAAGTGAATAGCGATCTGGGGGTCGTAGTCCTAACGGCCCGGGTTCGATTCCCGGCAGAGGCAGAAACAAATGAGCAGACTTTCTTTCCCCCTGGTGCATCTGTTCACCTGTCCATGACTTCCACACACCCGTCACCCTCCTTGACTTCCACACACCCGTCACCCTCCTTGACTTCCACACACACCCGTCACCCTCCTTGACTTCCACACACCCGTCACCCTCCTTGACTTCCACACACACCCCCCCCCCTCCTTGACTTCCACCCCCGTCCCCTCCTTGACTTCCACACACACCCGTCCACCCCCCCCCCCCCCCCCCCCTCCTTGACTTCCACACACCCGTCACCCCCCCCCCCTCCTTGACTTCCACACACCCGTCACCCCCCCCCCCCTCCTTGACTTCCACACACCCGTCACCCCCCCCCCCCCTCCTTGACTTCCACACACCCGTCCCCCCCCCCCCCCCCTCCTTGACTTCCACACACACCGTCCCCCCCCCCCCCTCCTTGACTTCCACACACCCGTCACCCCCCCCCCCCTCCTTCACTTCCACACACCCGTCACCCCCCCCCCCCTCCTTCACTTCCACACACCCGTCCTTGACCCCCACCCGTCACCCTCCTTGACTTCCACACATTAGGCTTCCCATAAACACAGCCGAGTTTAGATATAGTCGTCAGCTATATAAACAGGAGCTGCCTCGTATAGGCCAATAGGCCTTCTGGGTATACCTTTATTATGTCCTATGGTTTTAATCTTTGGTCTTTTTTGTATAAAAATCATCAAAATTTTGTATAAAAATTTTCTAATTGTTGGACTCAACTGACAAAAATCAGACACCAAGTTTTAATTAGTTTGCAATGTCTAATTAATATAAAAAGTCAATGATTTATCGTTTTCGCTCATGGAAAATGATAACAGATTTCTAGCGGAAACTTTCATATGTTTTTAATGTTTTTTTTAAAGTGGAGTGAAAGTGTGGAGTGTACTCATCTAGTTGTGCTTTCAGGGGGTTGAGCTTTGGCTCTTTGGTCCTGCCTCTCAACTGTCAATCAACTGGTGTATCCTGAGTCTATTGGGCTCCATCATATCAACATTTCAACCTGTGTATGGAGTCTGCCTCCACCACATCACTGGGTGTGGAGTACACATGTGACTGTAAGTGGAGTACAGTGTGGAGCAGGTGTGGTGACTAATCATACACACACGTGGGTGTGTAGCTGTGTGTATATATATACATCACCTCATGTATACCAGTATTAGGAGATGGCTTCTCGTAGTTCATTCCCAGGATGCAACCCTACCACCTATTTTGTATTAGGTGAACAGAAGGAGCAGATGTAAGTGGCGTGCTCAAACGTCTCGTCTGGCCCGGGAATCGAACTCAGGACCACTTTCTTTTGAGTCGAGTGTACTATATGTGTGCTAATGGCGCGTTGATTTTGCTACTACGAAGGAGGCTCCTTTAACGTCACAGGAACACAAATAGACACTCCCACGTGTTATCAGGGAGAGACACACCAGGGGCCTGTTCTGCCTCGTAATAGCACGTCGTATTTTGACGTACACTGTACCTAAGGTCGGTCGTCGTACTAGAAAAATGGTAGTGGATCGCGAAATTGATGTACTGTCCCCCCGTTTTCTGTTTTGGGTCCTCTGGTAGGTTAGGATAAGGGTAGTTTAGTAGGATAGTTTCTTGATGTTGGGGAGGCTTTAGGAGGATGGGTTGATGGTGTACCCAGTGAGTACCGGTTAGGTGGGGACTCCCTTCCCATCACCTGCTCCTCTCCCACCTCCCCTCCCGCCTACCTGAACACCAGCTATAGACAGCATCTGCCACCTCTCTTTCCCATCTCTTCCCTCTCCTGTCACCACACCTCTTCCTTCCTCCCTCCCACTGGCTCTTCTCCCTCCCATTGGTCTGCCTCTTCTCTTTTTTCTTTCTCAGCTGTACTCACCTGGTTGTGCTTGCGGGGGTTGGGCTCTGGCTCTTTGGTCCCGCCTCTCAACTGTCAATCAACTGGTGTACAGGTTCCTGAGCCTACTGGGCTCTATCGTATCTACATTTGAAACTGTGTATGGAGTCAGCCTCCACCACATCACTGCCTAATGCATTCCACCTGTTAACTACTGACTGAAAAAATCTTTCTAGTGCTCAGTTTGGTACTAAGTTTCCACCTGTGACCCCTTGTTAGTGTACAGTAGCGCTAAACGGGGTCTGTTCTTACCCTATTATATTCCCATAAGTATTTTGTATCGGGTAATCATGTCTCCCCTATCCCTTTTATCTTGCAGTGGCGTATTTTAGCACCTGTTGTCTTTCCGAGTAGCTCATACCTCTCAGCTCCGTGACTAGTCTGGTGGCATACTCAGGACCTTCTCCAGTTTGGTTATGTGTTGATAACGAGATAAGGACTCCGTGTAACTGCTCTTAATTACATTTCACCTTTGTAAATGCACATTAATGACACTATGTAAAAGACACATTGAACACTTTATGTAGGGCAGATGTAAATCTGTGTATCTATGTATTTACATATGTAGGTTAGCTTAGCATTTTAAAAGCACCAAATCACCTTCTGTGGTTGAGTGTTCAATAAACCCTTGAACTATATGTTTAACACTTCTCTCACCCTGTCCATGGAGGACAGAAGAAAATGTATTTATGTTGGTTAGCATTGTAAATGTGTCGCCACGTCTGTGGTACAAAATAATAATAAAAAAAAACTCCATGCAGGAGTTTTTTTTATGCAAACAATATACAAGATTATGAACGATTATTGGTTTAGATTCCTAAAGGAAGTGCTCATATTAGCCATTAAGATTATCTTGAGATGATTTCGGGGTTTAGCGTCCCCGCGGCCCGGTCCTCGACCAGGTTTCCTTTTTGTTACACATCCCCAGGAAGCAACCCGTAGCAGCTGTCTAACTCACAGGTACCTATTTACTGCTAGGTGAACAGTGGGCATCAGGGTGAAAGAAACTTTTTGCCCATTTGTCTCCGCCTCCACCGGGGATCGAACCCGGAACCTCAGGACTACGAATCCGAAGCGCTGTCCACTCAGCTGTCAGACAGCTGTTACCCGGTTGGCGAAATATCAACTCCCAAGTCTGCTTCTGAATCCGATTCCAATTGGATTTTATCTCCCATGTTTTTAGTCTCATATTTGCAGTTGAACTCTAGAAGCCACTTCAGGGGCCAGATTCACGAAGCAGTTACGCAAGCACTTACGAATCTGTACATCTTTTCTCAATCTTTGGCGGCTTTGTTTACAATTATTAAACAGTTAATGAGCTCCGAAGCACCAGGAGGCTGTTTATAACAATAACAACAGTTGATTGGCAAGTTTTCATGCTTGTAAACTGTTTAATAAATGTAACCAAAGC